CAGTAGCAAACATAAACTGAGATAGAGTCTCCTTCTTCAATGTCTTCTGCTTGGTTAACGAAATGAATAGCAATTTTGCGTACTTGAATTGTGTTGTTGTCTGAGTAAAATAATGGTTTGAACTTGGGGTTGAGTGAGCTAAGACATTGCCATTTTGCTGTTTCTTGTCCGTACTCACGTTCTTCTTCGTCATCTGATATCCGTAACTCTTTAATTTGAATTCGACACAAAACTGTTCGACTTTTTTTGCAGCTTTGGGTGGAAGACTTTCAATAAGCTGACATATAGTTCTGTCAAACACTATCTTTGTTATTGTTGGAAAATAGTTGACAATTGTGTCGCCTAATTCGAATGGGTCAGGTGTTTCTTTTTGTAGTTTGGTAAAGTCTGCAAGAACTTTGTTGAGTTGTTCACAATATTCTTTGTTAAAAGTTGCAGCAACTCTTTCTTCTGGCTTTGAATTGAAGTATTCTTCAGACAATCTGAGTAGTATTTTGCGTAGTTCAGCGTTGCTGTGGTTCTTTGTAATACGGAGCTCGTTTGGTATTGTTTTTGGTAGTGAAAGTGGCTTTGGATTGAGCGAATTGCAGGACAAATTTGAATTTGAATTGTCTGTTCTGCTTGGAGAATGTGTAGATGCTGCAGTTTGATATTGAGGCTCTAAACCTGTGGGCGCTGAAAGTCTGCAAGCAATTTCTTCAGGTGAATTTGGAGCGAACACGCTAGCGAATGCCATTAGACAAAAATAAACTGTTTTTTCGGACTACTCATAGAAAAGTTTAAAATAAACCGTTTTCGTCAACGGTAACCCCCTCTATTTTTTTATTTTATTTAATAGTTACCGTTGGCAAACCGTTCCATCTCAAATATTGAATGAACTATAAACGTTTTTTGTTTTCTATATATACTTTTTTCACCATCGGACAAACTTTTGACAGAAAGGAGCTTACACATACTTTACACTTGTCAAAATATTTTTAACATACGATAGTATATATTTGCTCGAACAAATAATGGTCTATCGTCAACGCTCATAGAGATAGACCCACTTTTCTAAAGTATATATTTGAGTACTTTAAAAAAATATTATAGAACGATATAACAAATATTTTACAAAACTGACAACACTTTGACCGAGTAGTTTTTTGAGCTGAACAAAAAGTGTCATACAAACATCTGTCAAAACCGCTTTTTAACTTCACTTAAAATGCCACGTAAGCTACGTAAATTACGTAAGAGGAAGGGAGCATTGAACATCCAAAAGTAAAAACTGACACCACAACAAAGTTGCAACAACAAATGCTGAATGACCCACTATGTTGCAACAAATGTCAAGCAATCCTATGCTTTTAAACCGAGTCATTGGGCACAGAGTGGAGGTTTAAGAGCGGCACTTTTAGCGAAAATGGCAGGCTATGTGGGCTGCAGACGGAACAGCCTATAACCCTCAAAGTCAAATGAATTTGAGTTCACTCAAAAATCAAATAACAGATGTCAAAAAGTCAAACATAGACATACAGAAGCAAATAAGTGAAAACGAAAAGAAACTAGAATATGACAGACACACAAAGAAACTCAATGAGTTAAACGTAGAGAAAAAGAAAAGAAGAACAACTGAAAGAACTAAGTACAGAGGAATATGCAAAAAAGTGTCAGAAAAAGCAGCAGAAGTAGCAAAAATGGAACAAGATGTCATAAATTTGAAAAACCATACTACTCAATATAAAGTACTGAAAGATGAAGAGATAAAACAAAAAGCCCTGAAGACATATATGGATAGCGATGAGTATAAAAAGAAGTTGAAGCAAATGTAAAGGAGAAAAACTTTTACAGTTGCAAAACCAAACCGTACAGTATGAAAACTTAGCACAAGAAAGTAAAAATAACGACGCGGCTATGCAAAAGGCAATGAAAAGCGCAGAATATATAAAAGCTAACAATGACTGGTTAGATGCCCAAGCCAACGCTAAAGCAGCCCAACTCATAGGGTCAATAAGGACAAAAATACAAGCGGATGAAGAAGTTCAAATGAAGCTTTAACAAATGCTGACTTTAAGAACGCCTTCGAAGCTCTTCATAGTAAGGTGAAACAAGTGAACGACTTCTCATCTGGAAAGAAACTGAAGTCTGAAGGTTTCGACAAAGAGTTAAAAGAAGTAGCACAAAATATGACGAAAATAACAGATGCAGCAACGAGACAGGCAGTTCAAAGCGCCTATGACGCCGTTAGAGCAACTGTTTGTGGAAAGTCAAGAAAAAGAGTTACAATACAGACCAAAACAGACCTAGTAAATGCTTTCTTAAGAAGAAAAGTCAGGTAGGACATTACGCTGCAGATGGAACATATGTGCCAGCTGGTGGAATTTTATTAACCACCAAACCCTCCAAGAGAAGCACCTGCACCAGGACTACCTAAACATTTACATCGTCACCATGGACATAGACACAGGCATGCACCAAACCACACAACAACCACACAACACAAACACAACAACCAGCACAGCAACCAACAGTTCAAAACCCTCACAACAACAACCACAAACAGAGAAGGACATAAAAGAAGTAGAGAACAAGGAAACCAAGAATTCTTAAAAATGCTTAAAGAAGAGTGTGGTTTCCCAGATACTGTTGACTTTAGTGACAGATATAAAGAAGCTATTGGAAAGTTCAAGGATGGAAATACTGACCCGAACCTATTTAGCTTTATGGCTCAGCACCAAAACGGATATAATCAAACCTGGAAAATACAAGCTCGCTAAGGGATATGATTTAATAGCATATCATCCAAATGACATGAAGAATTTACTCCGAGATATTTGATGTCAGAGCTAAATGACAATTCAACTTTCGTCATGAAACGCGTAAAAAATAGAGACGGAACGAAAGAACAAAAGCTTTGAATGCGGATGACGTAATAGGGAAATTGTTAAAAACGGTCTCGGATATATGAAATGCCAGCAGATGAGGTACAAGAAACTCCACAGGAAGAAGTTCAGATACAACCAGACATGGAAGAAATAGTTCAGCAACAACAGCTAGAAGAGCCTGAAGGAAACGAACAAGTCACTCCTTTGGAAACTAACTTCACAGAACTAGATGAAGATTTGGAACAGCCGAAAAATCTTGACCCTCAACAAGAGTATGCGGAGAATATGGAATATTTCCAAGAGTCTAAAAAAAATTCGGCTGACATAGTAGAAGAATATCGAAAAAATGTTTGCCGACATACAAAAGACTCCAACACCAGATGAAAATATTCAGCATAGAATGGAAGTAACTGAAAAAAAATGTACACAAATACAACAACCCTTTTTACTTACGAGCATTTAACGTTCAATCTTCGGATGAACTCGGTGAAGATAAAAGGTTAAATTTCAAGAAAACATATAGAAATGAAACATTGTTTAAAGTTCATTCAGAACCTAACCAAGATGGAAACAAACCTACTTTTGTTTCTGCAGACGATGGAACTACAATGAGATGGGGTCATAAAGCTAATCCGGATAGGTGGTTCATAAACTTACAACCTCAATTCCAAGAAGTTGTAGACGCAATGGAAGTGAATGGTGAACCAGATATAGCTGGTATTTTCAGCGCGGCTTAATGCCATTGAAAGATATGAAAGATGCAGATATTTTGGACCAGTATGAAATGAACATGGCTGATGGAAATATAACACCTGACGTTCTAGAACATTTATCTCAAAGAACTACACAGAACCATAGAGATGTATATTTGGTGAAGAGTTTAGAAAGAAAGTTATGGACAGCGAAGGAAGAGAACCTATTGTACATGACCTTGCAAACGAAAGTTTACAAAATGTCATAAAAACTTACTTTGCAGACAATGAACGAGAAGGGATGAATATTTAAGAAAACTCAAATGGACAGTACCAAATGAAATGTTAGTATTGAAAAACATGTTCCTTGACAAAATAAAACCAACTACAGAAATAAACGACGCAAGACTGAAAGATTGGGTAGAAGCTTTCCCATTCACAAAAGATATAGTTGGTAACATGGAAAGAAAACCAGAATGGCTACAAAAACATATATTTGGAAACGAGCATATTCCATATGGACAGGCACTGTTTGAAGAGCTTGAACCGGAAACTCAGGAAAGAGTCATGCAAACAATACGCGAAGACTCAAATACAGACTATGACAAACTCTTTCTAGGATATAGGTTACCTGAGATGGGCGACCAGAGCCAAAAGGCAAAAAGGACATGGGAAATTTGCAACATACTAGATGAACATAATGCAAAGATGCAACAACTTCAAGCAGAGGGCAATGAAGGAAAAAGAAGAGTTAAAAACTCAGTCAGGAAGAAAGTAAAGCTTGGTCCACGTGGGTTCTATTATGACATATAAATCCAACTATTCTATATTTTTACTCATATGAAATGTACGCCGCTCAGAATATAACGCCAACAGTTTTGGATGCTATGAATGGAAATGTTTCCGAATGGTATAACGAATGCGACAATGCCATTAGAAGGTCAGAAATAGTTCCTGGAACTTACGAATATACAACTGCTGTTTCTTATGGAAACGTAGGTGAGTTTGGAGAAGGTTCTTCAACAACAGTAGATATTGCTTGCGACAGGTTTCATATTATTTCTATTGACAACTCTTTCTTATACGTGGAACAAGACATTGAAATAAAACCTTCTGCCAAGTTGTCTGACAAGAAAGGTTGCAATGGAATTTTCTATGTCGGATACCAATATGCTCCAGAAGTTTTCATGGGATATAAGATATATTCTAACTCTGACTTAGTTCAAACAGTAACATGGGCAAACTATGAATGGTTCGCTTTGAGAAACTCAGTACAACCACAAGCTAGAGAACAAACAGACCAGTATGCAACTATTGAGAAAATAAGAAGACTTGACCCTAACGTTCCAGGAGTTTATGTTGACCTTTCTGGACAAACTGCAGCAGCAGTAACCAAAGTAAAATTGAAACTTAGAGTTCCTTTGTCATCTTTCCTCATCTTCAGGTTTTTAAGATACTTGCCAAACTGGGCAGGAAAAATTTCTATCGAACTTACTCCAAGCAAAAATAACTTAGTCATTGCACCAACACAAGACCCATTCACTCTTACAGACGTAAAGGGAGCAAATCAAACGTCATTCGCCGAATTTTGCAAAGACAAAGTTGACTTAGACTTTGGTTTCTCAAACCTCAACACTGAAGTAAACTACTACTTCAATGCTGCTGGAACTGCTTGGGACCCAGTTAAGTTCACATGCGAAAAGTTTGAATGCAAGAGAATAGAAAGCAGACTTGCAGTCTATATGTTGGACCCAGATATTTCAAATGCTTTAGCTGCCAAATATATTGCAGTTCCACTTATGTTCCCTATACACCAAATATCTGTCAAAGACTTTGCAGGTGAAGTTGGAAACCAAAGTGCTGACCCAGGTGCAAGAACAGATATTGCTTTAACAACTGCAATGAAACATGCAGATACTATGTTTGTACTGTTCAGACGAACTATAAATGACTATTCTTGTTTCTACAACCCTGGTATTAAATACCATATAAACATAGATGGCAAATATTATCCAAGAGAAGAATATTCTACAGTTGAGGATATGAGGTCATACAACTTGACATTAGATGCTATGAACTTTAACAACAACTTCACAACAACCATTAACCCTGAAATGCAAAGTTCTATTATGCCATATGTGAAAGTATGGACCCATACAGGAGCTCAAAACACTCAATATACAAATGGAGACCGTTCAAACTTTTGGCTTGGCATTCCATTTGCTGACTCAGAAGACTTTATGGGTGGTATTTCAACTGTTGGTACAGTTCAAATACAATATACTGGTGACAGAGACGGTCCAAATGAATTGAAAGCAAAGAAGTTTACAAAACCAATAGCACTTTTCACGGAAGATGCTCTTTTGAAGATTCGTTCGATGAAACCTGCTGGGGCTCCTCAGATTGGCATAACGACAGCTTCCATCGAGCAGATTTTGGCAGCAGGTCAGTAAGTTGTTCTTGAACTGACTTCTCTCCGTCAAATATTGACAGTACGCCAGTTTTGACATAAAATTGTATTATAAACTTTCCTTTAGAAATATCGGTCAGTTTTGTTGTTATATTTTTGTCTGCTTCAAGAACTTTCACCATTTCAGTTATACCAACTTTCTTTGCTTTATGAAAATATTTTGGTTCAGCAAAGACTGCTATTCTATAACATTTTCCATTGTTTGTATAAAGAACTATTCTGTCAATGTATTTGTATTGTTTGTGTGTGTAAACTTTGTTCTGCTTCAATTCGAAGAGATACTCAAATACGTCCATCTTTTTATTCTAAGTAAAATGTCATTTCCGAAAAATAGAAGCGTAAGTGTTTCAAAAGGTTTAATGGCGGTGGCAGATGTGAAGTTAAATTCACCAACTCAAACAAACAGTCAAAGTGTTGTTGTCAATGTCAAAGAAGAGATGTTGAAGTGGGGAAACCATACGAAGACGAAGATGGTATAACAATAGTTCCTGTAAAAGAACAACCAACATATCCTGAAGTTAGCAGAGACTTAAGTTCTGTTGCAGATATTCGAAACGACTACCAACAACTTAAAGACAAACTTAAAACTCAGGAGAAGATTTGTCAGCTTTGGGTATAATGTTAAACTTGGTTGAGCACAACCCTGTAAAAGTGAACTCATATGTCATCGCACCTCATGAAATTTTGAAAGAACTATTGAAACTTTTGACAGAGGCAGACGATATAAACATCAAAAAATAGAACCCGACATTGCTTGCTGTGGTGTTTCATACAATGTCATTGACAAGATATACGTTATGAAAGGAGGTGAAACGTTGAACTTAAAATATAGTTTCCCAGACGTCATAAAAATATTTGACGACCACAACATTTCATTAAAATTTACTTGCTAAGTAAATGGCAGAAGACATAGTGGTTTATACTATTACGACTAAAAACCCTGAGTCATATAATTCTATAACAACAAACTTACAAAGTCCTCAAGGACGATATTGTAAACTGACCTTAAACACGATGACGACTAAAGCCTGTTTGCTCTTTTGACACCAGAAGACTTTGTTGTTGTGAATGGTAAAAATACTTCTTTGAAGATACTTACTCAGATATACCACCAACAGGTTTTGTTGACTTATTTAATACTTTAAGGACGGATGTAACATGTGCTGCAACTAGAGCAGGTTTCATTATGTTTGGATGTCCGACTGAGTTTACTATAAACGATATGAGCTATAATACAAAACTTATATCTGGTTTTTACTACCAACAGTTTCCTATAACAGGAAAAGGTGTCATACAAGGAATGTCTGTTCCATTGACTTTAAGTACACCTATTTTATATATTGTTTCAAACTTAGGTTCAAAGTGCTATTCGAATGTCGACAGAAACTACTATGACCAAAAGATACTCATGCGTATAAACAACACTTTCTCTGCTGGTTTGCCTATTGTTCATTCGAATGCAGAGTTTTCAGCTTTAGTGAACTCAAACACTTTAGCAAACATAAACTTAACCTTAGTCGACGCAAACTTTGTTCCTGTAAAAACTTTTATGTCCTATGTATTTGTCAATGACGGCAGAAAGTTTCGAATTGGAAGATGCAACTGGTGAAAGTATTGTACTACAAGAACAACTTCAACAACAAATAGCTCAAGAACAACAAATGCAACAAATGGAACAAATGCAACAACAAAGTCAAGAATAAAAAAAATATTTTTTTTATTTTTATAAAAATGTACAGAATAGACGTTTCAGATTTTTATGACTTCCAAGCGTTCAGAAATATGTGTCCATTTAGAGACTATAACAAAGCAGTCGAGAATTTGAAACGTTTAGTCATTTATGTCGACTCTGCCCCAGAATGTTATGTTATGAAAGAATGGGATGTTGTCTTTAACAAACCAAGAGCGACAATAGTTTCAGAACAAGAATGTAGACAGAAACTTAAGAAAATAAAAGTCGTACAAGTTGGCATGAAGATGTTAGATGCTTGGGATATCTTATTGTCAAAGTTAGAAGATTTTTCAGTTCGTGGTATAAAGTTCTATACACCATCTCCAAACTTCTATTCTATCTTCACTGGATATAAATATGAACAAGTAGAATGGAAAGAAAATATTATAGAAGCTTGGTTAGACCATGTCAAAGAAATTATATGCAATGGAAACGAAAAGGTTTATGAGTATATCTTATGTTGGTTTGCAAACATCTTACAACATCCAAGTGCTAAAAATGAAACTGCTCTCATTATAATTGGAAAACAAGGAACTGGTAAGAACACATTCTTTACAGATATTTTGTGCAAACTGTTAGAGGGCTATTCGAACCCGAATATGACAAACTTAGAAAACATCTGCGGTAAGTTTAACTCCTCAATAGAGAATATGAAACTTATAGTTTGCAATGAACTTCAAAGTATAGATACAACAAAAGTTTTGAACTCAGATGCTTTGAAGAGTCTTATAACAGACAAAGTTGGAGTTGTTGAAAGAAAGTATAAAGACCAAAGAGTTTGTGAAAATGTTGCAAATTTCATCATGGTTTCAAACAATGTTGTTCCGATGAAGTTAGAAAGTTCTGACAGAAGATATGTAGTTGTCAGAACGTCAGATTCTCATATGCAAGATACAGAATATTTTGACGACTTAGCAGAAACTTTGACACCTAACTTTTACAACCACTTGTTCTCATATTTTATGACATTAGATATTTCTAAGTTCAATCCAAGACAAATTCCACATACCGAAGAAAGACAAACATTGTTAGAAGCAAACAAGAGTGTATATGAACTGTTTATAGATGAGACTAACTTTGAGTGTTTAGATGAAAGGTCATTGTACGATGAATATAAACAATATTGTCAAGAGTATGGTTATATGGCAGCGTCTAAACGAACATTCTTGGCAAATGTCAAAAATCTTTTAGACATACAGAACGGCGTATATACAAAGAAAAATTTTTCTGAGTAAATTTTATAAAAAATATATATTTTTATTTTATTTGAAATGTACGCTGAGTTTGTTGGAAAAGACCTAGATAACGAAAATAGATATGCGCTATTCTGGTTAGATTGTCCTTATGAAATGTATGAAAAAAAGGCTTTATATGAAGAATATAGAAAATATTGTCATGAAAACGATATAAGACTAAGCTCTAGAGAAAAATTCTATGCTGGTATAAAACATCTTTTCGAAGTTCGGAATGGCAAATATAGAAAGAAATAATTTTTCTGAGTAAATTTAAAAAAAATATTTTTTTATCCGATAGAAAAGATGACGAAATATATTTCAGTCAACAAATATATGACAGAAGTCAAAGATAAGTTAGCTCCATTCGCTTATTTGAATGTTTACTTCTACCATTTTGAAAAGTCTACATTTGACAAAGTTTGGAACATCGAACCAGTTAAGTTTGCTATTGTGACTAAAAATGGTGCGAAATTTGAAGACTTAGACATAGAAGGTTTGTTAGCAGTCAAAGAAAATTTTGACAGAAGGTTTTCAAACCTTAAAGAAGGCAAAGCATACAAACTTGTTATACCTTATGAACCAAAGAAAGCAGACGACTATGAATATTATGAGTCTAAGATAGTTGAAGTTCAAGGTAAATTGGGTAAAAAGATTTTAGAGTCTAAGCCAGTGTTTGCTCCTAAAGAGGAAGAGAACATTGACATTGACCCAGAAATGTTCTAAAAATAAAAGTTTATTTTTACATGTCAAATTTCTTCTTCTCTGGCTCTGGCTCTGGTTCTTTCTTCTCTTCTTCTACTTTCTTTTCTTCTACTTTCTTTTCTTTCTTTTCTCTCTTCTTCTTCTTCTCTGGTGGAGTTATGTCAAATTTGGCGCAACCATATTTATGTAAAAGTTCTTTGTCCTTTAATAGCTCTTCTATTCTGTTTTCTATTTCATCTTCAAGAACAGCGCATGTGCCTTCTTTGCATTCTAAGAACTTTTGTTGGACTTCATCTTTCCAATCGGCGTCATCTCTGTCAACAAGTCTGTCATTGACAAACTTAAAGACTTCTCTGCTAATGTTTTATGGTTCTTGTCATATTCCCAGAAACAGAACTTTAGAACAAATTCACCTTTCTTGTTTACACTATGTAAGATTTTATGGTCGACAGATGTTTTGCTGTCGAAAAGCTTGTCTCGAATATAGATAGCGAAATCGCTAGACATTTTCAAAAGATAAAAATTTTAATTTTTCTAAAAATATGTTAGAAAAAAAGTTTGCTGACATTGACAAGAAATTTGAGAATGTTTTAAATAAGAACAAGAGGAAGTTGGAAAATGCTCAGATAAAACCCATACATGACAAGTTCTTATTTGCTCAGAATGGTATAACAGGTCTAATCGCACCACCTGGGTCGGGTAAGACTTTCACTTATCTTAAAATGGCTGCACAACAACAAGAACTAGATGAGAAGAACCCATTCTATGAGTTAGTTGTTATTTGTAGTACTTCTGGTCAATTTGACCAAACCGTAAATTCGTTCAAAGATATTATAAAAAAGTCTAAGTTAGTATGTATAAAAGACTCTGAGTTGTTGGATTGGATAAAGAAGTACCAAAGAAGAGTTTTGAAGTACAATGCTATAAATGAGTATATAAATTCGAAGTTTAAAGACCCAAATGAGGAAATGCAGAGAATATTAGAGAAGAAACACTTCAGAAACAAACAGAAAGAGATAGAATACATTTCGAAGAAATTGCAATCTTACGATTGGAAGACTTACCCTCACAGATGTCTTCTTATCTTAGATGATTTCGCCTCTCATCCTTTGTTAAAGAACAGAGAACAAGACATGTGTCGAATTCTTAAGAAGCTCAGGCACTTTAACATCTCTGTTGTCATTTGTGTACAGACAGCAAAGAGTTTAAGTAAGGATGTTAAAAGAATACTTACTGATATCATACTTTTCCCTGGATTGTCCGAAGACGATTTCATGGAACTTATGAAAGAGTCCATGGCAGGTAAGTTTGACAGACATGAACTATGGGAGAAGTACAAAGTCATACAAGACCCTCATACTTCTTTCAGAATTCACATCTACGCGAACAAAGTTCAAATTGTAAAAAGTCAATAAAAATAAAGAGTTTTGTGCTGAATTCAATAAAAATATATTTTTAGGGTAGATGGGTATATCTAACCCGATTTCTAACCTCATTTCTACCCCATATGTCCTTACTGAAAAAGTACGTGTTCCATATGTCATTTTACTCAGAATTTTACTCAGAATTCAATAAAAATATATTTTAGGGTAGAAGGGTATATCTACCCGATATCTAACCTCTTTTCTACCCCAGTTATTTTATAAGCGTTTTACATGGTAAACATTGTGAATTCGTGAAATTCTAAACAATTTCGTAGCTTCTATTTCTTCTGTCAGTACATCGAATGTTTTAACAATGCCGAAGGTTTCTTTATATTTCTTCTTGACATCTGAAAGAAGGAAATCGTCAGCTGTTGGATAGTTTTTGTTCAGAAATGTCAACATGTCCATTTTATCTTCTGCTGGTTTCTCTACTTCTTTCTTTAAGTCAGCATAGTCGTTTCGCATACGTTCTATCTCTTTGACGGAGTAGTTATATTTCCTCATTGCTGCTTTACATTTTGAACATTGTGGGTTCATTTTAGCATTGTACATTGAAATCTTACCTGCTAGTATGACTAAGGCGTCAATTGCTCTTTCTTAACTCAAAAGTTGCGGGTTTTATTGTTCATTCCATACTTACCCTTCTATCTTTATCTCTTATTGCCAACACATTTTGCAACTAACGAAACAAAGTTGTCGTAGGTCTTAAACTTCATTTGTATATGTCAGAGATGTTCTTATATACCATGTCGCAATCTTTGTCCATGACTTTGGTTGCAATGAAATCCAAGAAAATCATAATTTACCTTTCGTATGAACTTCTTTATTTCTACTGAGTCAGTTGCTTTGACTTCTATTTCATCGAATTCAGGAATAGTAGCTTTTTGTTGGATTTCAGGCAATTTGGGTAAATGGTCAATAATATCCTGCATTTCATAAAGATACTGTTCATTTGTTTCATCTTTCGCACTACAGTCTAAATTACTTGTTAAAAGTTCTTGCTTTATCTTCTGGATTTTTGTTTCGAAAGTATATGAAGAAGGAATGAAGCTTTTCATCTCTACTAACATTGAAGTTGGGTTCATGACTAACGAGTTTGGTGCTGTTGTTGCTAACATGTTCTTACAATAAAAATAAAAAAATATTTTTTTAAAAAAACCAACTTTATTTTTTATTTCGGGAAAACTCATGACAAATTCAAGAGGGTAGAAAAGAGGTTAGAAAAGAGGTTATATCTAACCTTCTACCCTAAAATATATTTTTGCCGAATTCATGAGTTTTGGTTGAAAGAATACGGTGGAGCCAAAAGTGGCTCGACCTCAAAACAAGCATTTTCTGTATAAAATTCATGAAAATTCATGAGGTTAGAAAAGAGGTTAGAAAAGAGGTTATATCTAACCTTCTACCCTAAAATATATTTTTGCCGAATTCAGCAACAAAATTCAAATTGTAAACGGTTTAATAGAAAAAGTGTTATTTTTTCATGTCCGAAGACTCGAAGGTGCAACACTTCCAAAATACCGACGAACTCAGAAGAGCAGCATGGCAGTATGTTCTTGACAACTTCTTTGAGTTCTCCAGGTACACCTTGGAAAATGCTGAAGAACTCCGACACAGAGAATTTGGAGAAATTGCACTCCAATACTACCTTGACAAACAAAGGGTAAACAAAGGGTAAAATAAGACTAAAAACTTAACGTTTAAAAAGTGACATTTTTATGAGCTCCGAGTCACCGAGAAAACTTGGTCAGATGTTAGCAGCTTACTTCCCTGAGGAGGATGGAAGCGTTACATACGTAAGGTTCAAAAACAACGAACCTGGAATTGCGTACCAAATTCGCAATTACATGACCATGGAAGAGTACGAAAGGTTTCTACAAGAGAAACCAGCTCTAAACAACTCAGAAAAGAAAGAATAAAAAGTTTAACTCGTAATTGTTTATTTTTTTACTTGTATGGGCAAGCTGCAAGAATGAAGTCGACTATCTCGTCTTTGTCTTGACCAGTTGGACTGCTCTTGCGAGTACGTCTGTTTTGCGGTCTCCAGCTGGTGTCTGACCTTCGTAATTGCGCATGTTCTTGAGAGCTCCAGTTGTAAATGGTTGTAGGATGAAGAGTCTCTCAGACTGCTTGAGGTAGTCTTCACGGTCACGAACCGAATCTGTGGTACGAGTCGAATCGGTCGATTTGAGGGAAGAGAGTGAGAGCCTGTCTTCCATAGGGGCTGTGGCATACTCTTTGCGTAAACGGTTCAGACCTTCTTCGAACTCTTGGTCTCTCTTGACTGAGATTGAATTGAATTGGGGTGGAGGGTTTGACATGAACATCCAAGGGTTAGGGAAGTAAGGCATGGGTTGAGGAGGGTAGTTTGGAAAGCCTTGTGGTGGGTAGTTTGGAAAGCCTTGTGGTGGGTAGTAACCTTGAGGTGGAAATTGGTAGTAATTCGGAGGTCCTTGTTGGAACTGAGGTTGCTGTGGGAGCCTTGTGGAGGTGGAACCTGTTGTGGTGCTGGAGCATGCTGTTCTTCTGGCTGTGGAACGGGTTCAGTAGGTGGGACGTCGGACATTCGTTTGTGTCTTAACCGTCTTTGTTCTGAAACAATATAATATTGTCTTGAAAAAGTACAATATTGTCTTGAAAAAGTACAATATTGTCTTGAAAAAGTACAACATTGTCTTGAAAAAGTACAACATTGTCTTGAAAAAGTACAACATTGTCTTGAAAAAGTACAACATTGTTCTGAAAAAGTACAACATTGTTCTGAAAAAGTTCAAGACTTGTTCTGAAAAAGTACAGCCGTACTCAAATTTGAGAGACATTGTACTGAATTTATACAACATTGTTCTGAAAAAGTACAACATTGTCTTGAAAAAGTACAACATTGTCTTGAAAAAGTACAACATTGTCTTGAAAAAGTACAACATTGTCTTGAAAAAGTACAATATTGTACTGACTCAGTATGGAGCTTGACCCCTTAGACGAAGCAATTTATCTAATTGAGGTAAATGAAACCGTGAAGGAATATCTCAGCAAGTGCAAACCAAGCAAGTCCATTGGCTTCTGGTTGTCCAAGAATAGTGTCTTAAAGTTGGAAATTGAAACAGGTGTTGCAATTCAAGTTCCAGAAGGCACTGCATTCGATGATATTAAGGATGTGAAGAAAGAAGCCCTCTTGAAGTTCTTCATGAAACGTCCTTGGATACTACTTCCATATCGTGAGAGCCCAATTCCACGAATTACACAAATTCTCAGAGCACTACTTCACTACTCTGGACAGCCGTTCTTCATAACCTCAGAAGGCGACATCCAACCAATTCAGTAAACATCTCATTTTAACTTCACTTTTTTTATGTTTTTACTCACACTCGTACTCAACAGGTTTGTGTACAACTATTTCAACTGTGAACCTTGTATTGACCGGTCTTCCTGCAAATGCAAGTTCGGTCAATACACAATTTATGGTGGCAAGAAAGACAGTGGGGAATGTTATTCTGACATCTGTTGTTGCGCTCGAGAGAGAATTGAAATTCCAGACCCAACTCCAACAAGAACACTCAAGTTGCCGAAGACTCATGTGAAGAAGAAGCCTTCTGGTAAGTTTCTTATAGCCATCTATATGGCACGCTTTGAGTAAAAACATTTTTTTTTCTTTTTTGAATGAAGCAAGTTAAATTCGTCCCACACCAATCTCAATGGACCGATGAAGAGTTTCAAGCTATGGTTGAAGGTGTTGAGAACGACA